AGCTGGGTAATTATACTCAAGGGAATCCATTAGTCTTTTCCAAAACTCAAATAAAACTCTTTACTTCCAAGTAATAAAGTCATACTACTTCATGTAGAGAGTTCAATTGCAGTTAAATTCTTAAAAAAGAAAAAAATAATAATAAAAAGTCATACTACTTGATGCAGAGAGGTCAAGTGCAGTTAAAACAAAATATCATCAAATCAGATTTCATCAAATCTAAGATTTCTCAATGGTGATTCATTAAAAAAAAAATAATAAAAAGGTCTTTTACTGCACCTTGATAAAATTTAATCATAATACTTTTGAAGAGCATAAGAATCTGCCAATTTGAATTAAATGCCTGACAGTCTCATCCATCCATACATCCATCCATCTTACATAACCAATTAAACACCACTGGATCACAATGGGCCTTCAGCCTGTCTAGGGCACAGGAGACACAAGGCTGGGGTCACCCTGAGCTGGATGCCAGTCCAGGTCTTACATTAGCAGTTTAGCATTTTTGTCTGTAAGAAAGGATACGAGCTCTGCCCATCATGTCCGATGGTGACGATGGGGACCACCACATGCTTAGCCTGGATGCTCTCCAGGTAGCTCTGGGACAGCAGCCCCACACTCATAGTGTCTCCTATCTTGGAGAAGACGATGGCGTCCTTCCCCAGATGCATAGAGCTGGACTTGAAGCCGTTTCCATACGTGCCCACTGGGTCGTGGCCTCTGACGGCTTTCTTATCGCTGAACCCGAAACTGGGGAGAAGAGAAGTTTACCATGAAATGTCATAAAAACCTGAAAGAAAACAGCTTTAATACTCAATGTTTGGTTACGAGAGCAATAACTTTTCTATGGTTATGTGATTCCATCTTATTATTCAATCGTATTATGCACTGTTGAACTGACGATGGATTTAATGCTGCTGGAGAAACAGTATTAGAACTGGGATTCAACAGAAAATGTGTGCCAGAAAGCTGGTGCCACAAAAAGGTATAAATCATCTCAGGACTATGATATCTAACAGAGCAGGGAAACTAATCAGTGATTGTTCTGATTGGTCTTTATTGAATCCAAGGTTTACAAAAAGTTAGGCCCTAGATCTTCCCTGCTTTCCTCAGGTGCATGTAAAAATCTGTTATAACTTGTTCCTCAGTTGCAAGCAGTTTGCAGGGTATGACT